TTATCTGCTGATCAATAATATGTGCTAATAAATTCAGTCAATCTTTTATATAACATTTAATACAACTATTCCGTTAAAAGAACCTGCTTTTATCGGCGGATTTATTTTTAATAGACCGTCTTATTTTACAATAACTATGTGTGTCGTTATAGAATTTGATATTTTGATAATTATGAGGAGCATCTCATAAGTAATACCGAATTCGATTGAACATACTAATGCGCACTAATGCTTATTAAAGTACACTGATTTAATTTGTGTAAAAGTAAAATGCAAATATTTCGAATTATAAAATATAGATTTTAATTAACACAACATGTATTAAAGACTTCATGATTTAATTCGTTTTTATATTTATATTAATATACATTTGTACATCAATTTATTTAGGACAGAAGTTTTGTAGTGCATCAATGTGCATTAAGTGTATTCAATCGAACTTGCTATAGGTTTTCTTATCATAGAAAAAAAAACTGATTGTGCGAGTATGAACGAAAAATCTTGATTATTCTTTTTATGAAATTACTTCTCCTTCACAACAACAGACAAATGAAGTTACAAATGGAATCGAAAAATTTTGAGAATAAGGCTTATAGTTCTCTCATAATATCAGAGAAAATTGTTTCATAAGTTTATCCTCTATTCTGATTCCAAAAGAAATCCAATGTTTATTGCAGTTAGGAGAAAATTTTTCATTACCTGATTACGATCGCAGAGATAATGTTCAAGTTAAAAAATATTGAAAATAATATAAAAAAATAAATAAATTTAGTTTCGAACCAAAGCCTACAAATAGAACTTTATCTATTCTGATTTTGAAAATTTTTTTGTCCTTCAGATCTCAGAATGTTGAAGTTAATAATAAATTAGCTTATCTAGTTAAATCTACGAAACAACTGTTAAAGAATAATCCGTATGTGGTATTCACAAAAACTAATGAAGGCAACATCATGATAGCATTAGATAATAATGAATACAAGTAAAAACTTACGCAAATGCTTATTAGAAAGCGTTAAAAGTGCATAAAGACAGATAATTGTATTATTACATAGATATGCATATTTATAGGCTCATTATAGACTTTGATTAAGATAACTTAAAATTGAGAATATCATTAATTCTATGCACATGATGAAACTTCACTTATTAATTACATATCATTTGTCGAAAAAAAATTATATTTAAAAAAAGTTTATTTAAAAAATTGCTCTATTCTTACTTAATTTAACAAAATAATTTTTGCTTAACTTACTGACAAAAAGATATTGAAGTTTTATAACCTTTTTGAAATAATTTGTTCAAAATAATATTGCAATTGCTTCAAAACACATTTCGTTGTAAGAAGTTATCTAGTCAGAAAGTAAAAAAAAATTTTCTTTAATTAATATAAAAAAAAATAGAAATAGGAACAATTTTACGTAAAAAATATTAATATTACACTTTTTTGATTTGAGGTTATTTCAAGATTAATTTTTCTTAGATCGAATTATAATTTTTGAAGTTCTATATTTAGTCCTTTCTCAAACTCAGGTTAGTAATTAAAACCCAGATTAATCTTGATGTGATACTTTAAGAATGCCAATAACAAGTTGAGATTATTATTTTATCTTCTTCAAAACAAAATAATTTTTACTTAAAACATTTTTTGTTAAAATATCGTAAGAGGTAAGACATTTTAGCCATCTTATATAGAGTCAATTAATTTTCGTGACAACGTATGTGGATAGAACGAACTTAGTTGAAAAGTTCTGTATCATTTTGCAATTTTTGCACAATACTAATAAAATATTGATTCTAAAGATCGTCGGAAAATCAAATTTCCTCCAGGAAAATATCCAGCAAACTTTAAATATTTTTGAAATATTTATAAAACGTTCCTGAAATCTCCAAAAAATATTCCAAGAATATAAAATATTCTCAAATGTTTACGTAAAGGAAACATTCAAATGTTAGTTAAAAATTTCATTTATATATCGTTATATATTCCAAGAATGTTTTATATATATTCCGCAAAATTTTAATTTTTCCAAAAATTTCGTGAATCAGTTTTTAAACAAAATTTTATTTTGGTAAACATATTTAATGTGACTTTTTCTGGGTGAATGAACTATAAAAAAGCGGTTGAATACTGAATAGTTGCCGAATATTCGTTGCATTTCTATTAACTATTATTATTATTATCCCTATTAACTATTACTATTGTTACTATACGAAAATTGCAAAATGGTACAGGACTTTTCAAATCAGTTTAATCCGTTCTATTTGCATACAAGCTGTGTCAAAAAATTTGGGACACGTATATGTATAATATATATATATGCGCGCGCGCGCACACACACACACACACACACACACACATTCCAATAGCAATTTTTTTTTAATTTTTAATTTTTTAATTCTCCATTATCATCACGTTGCGCTTCTGGTTCTGACAATGGCAACCATTGTGCCGAAGCACCTTTTCCGGATAATACACGTTGAAACAACTCTTTTTGACACGAGCCGGATACTTCACACTTACCTAAGAGATTACCATTTGCTCGCAGTACAGAAAATAGTAAGACACACTTCGGTAATATGTCGCTATTAATATCAAAGGTAAGAATATCGTTCCAGACGGGAATAGTAGCCTCATGTTGTATACTCGATTTTTTCTTCTTAAGATTTTTACCGTCTTGCATAAGCGATACCTAAACAATTCATCTTAAATAAGAAAATTTTAAAACAAGTATTATATATATATATCATA